AGTAAAGTTGCGTTGTAAACACACGTACGTGTAAGTTGTAACGTTATTATTAGGCCTATACATACGATTGTTAACAACCAGTTCGTGGAGGTCATTAAATTCTAAGAACAGGTTTGCACGAACCGGTGCGAACCGGCTGAATCCCACCACTGCATGCAATGTATTAAAAGAAGGGGAAAAATATTTTACGAGGCCATTAAAGATTACTTATTCTGTTACAACATTTAATACTCCTTTGTATTTACTTTCAAAATGTTTGAGTGAAAATGCTATACTAAATACAAATATCAAATATGTATGTGGGAAAATGCTATACTAAATACAAATATCAAGTATGAAAATAACAGTAGTCCATAGATATATATTGACTTGTGTAATTTTGATAAGTTGAGTATTGAAAGCATTGATTTCTTTCAATGTTGATGTTTGCTTAAACAGTAGTAAAACTTCTTGTAGATCTTATGACCTTTGCTGTCCCCACTTATTCTGGAACAAAAATATGGCACATAAACATATGGATTTATACGATGATAATAAGTCTTACTATTAGTTAATTTTAAGTTGTTTGACATAATTAGGAATTGTTTTACATGATGTTCTATAAAGACAGCATGTAAATGGTTTACATGGTCTAAAGTAGTGTTATTTTATACAAGTAATTGACATTAATTCTTGTGAAAGAAAAGAAGAAAAATATTGTGAAAGATGACCAAATATATTAACTAAAATCTAGATTGAATATTTCTATTCATACAAAAAGTATATTAATTAATACAAGTATTCACTGTTTAATCAGAGGTAAATATGTCTTTTGTTGGTGAAGTTCTTTTAATTTATTTGTTTTTCCATAACTGAGTTACAAAAGCTGAAAACAAACTTCATTGTAAAAGCCTGAAAAAAAAGCTTTAAAAATGTCATTGAAGTTAAAAATTGTTATAAAAATCTCCAATAACTAGAACTCCAGAAAAGGGCTTTAAAACATGAGTCAGAAGTGTTTACTTAGGATTTGTTCATTTATTAATCAGTAGTAACCCACTTTTAGAACTGAGATTTAAGAGTGTGTTGTCTTTCTAGCCCACACAAGGTTAAATACAATGGGATATATTTTCACTAGAAGCACATTCCCCATAATTGACTTGATTTAGTATTGGAATTAGTATATTTCTTTTGATATTTATGAATCGTCTGCACAAAACATGAAAAATGTGCCTGAAGCCAACTTCAGGAAGTCATGAATAACTCTGCCTTGTAATGAGACTAGTCGGGATAGCAACCCTAGGTATTTTAACCCTGATATTTTCCAACTGAAACTCAAATGTATGTCCAAGTGAATTTGCCAACTTGCATATTTTTAATTAACCCACTATTAATAAAGGACTGCACTTTAAAATGTTTCCAAAATCTTATCTTTGTTGATCACGTTTTAAGTATACATGTGATATTAGGTGTGGGCACTGACAATGATGGAATTCTTGTTTTGGGAGCAACCAATATCCCATGGGTCCTAGATGCTGCCATCAGAAGAAGGTAAGTTATTTTGCCGAGCATGATCTGCACTGCTTTTACTGTGGTGTTCAGAACTCATGTATTTGATTCCCTTTAGTAACATTTTCCTTTAGGTTTGGGGGGTTCTTTAGAATAAGAATGATCTAGAAATTAGTCAGTCAAATGATTAATTTGGATTTAATATTATATTATCCTTACAAGAGGCTTTGTAGGATGTTATTTTTTAAGATGCATCTGATGCATTGGGAATTAATGTGTTTATGAAGCTTTGTTATATCTAATATCATGCAGTTTACTGAAAATGTGTCTTCTTGAATGTTGTTTTACAAACTGTTGTAGTGTCTGTTTCAGATTTCACTGTTTAGTTAAAAA